TTTTATTTAGAATTATTAATTATTTTATGTTGTCCAATTTTTATATTATTCGTGCTCGATTTTTTCGATTATGTGCGCGTAATTGTCTAGTTGTACTATAAAATTAAATTTTAATATCGAGCCGGATTGTATATTATTTTTAAATTATTCAGTGATTTTCGGTTTAATCGCGTAAACCGAACTTAATCCGTTTTAATTCACTTTCGATCGAGCCATTTCAATCCAACCTTGGAATTTTATTTTTGGCCTCTTTGATAATCCTACCATTCGGCCTTATTAGCCTTAAAGCCACTCCAAATAGCTAGCAAAGACCTGACCAATTTTGATTAAAGTTAAAGAGAGATTTTATTTCACATGTTCAAATTAAAATCTCCTCTAGCATCATATTACGACTTTAAACCAGCCTTGGAAGTTTCTTCTGACTGTTTTTAGAGATTTATATCAAGCCTTGATAGCCCATAATTATGGTAATAATAATTCTTGACTACCACTCTTTATGTCCTTAATTTCGGATCATCTCTTGCCCTTTAAACGGTCATTCCCTCACGCCTTTCTGATTCATTTTGTGCTTTAGAGATTTCAGAACTTGCATCTTCTCTACCAAAATCACATCAATCCTCTCTATATTTTTTTCCTGTCGGCATCAATACTCCAACAACTATAAAAAAAAAAAAATAAAAAAAATAAACTTTGTAGCCGCTAATCTACGTCCTCAGCACGACAACTCCTACCACCGTTTCACCAAGCAGCAGCCGCACTTCATGTATCGAGCAGCGAACAGCAACCAAGACGACGAGAAACCGCAGTAGCCGTAAGCCGAGCCGTGGTCGAGTTTTGGTTCATTCATTTCGTTCGTTCCTAACCGAGCGTCTAGTTTTCCCGAAGAAAGGTAATCGGTTGAACCTTTCCCGTTTATTCTTGCGTGCTTGTGATTAGTTCGCTGGTTCTTACGTTGTATAGATATTAGTTTGTTAGTCAAAATTATTTTCGGTTTGTGTCCTCGCTTATTGCCTTTGTGTTTCGGGTATTTTGTTGTGAATTGATGGAACCCTCGTTGTTAATCAAGCCTTCTTGTTGTATATATTATCGTTTAAATTTGGAGCCATGTTGCTGTAACTGAGCCAAGTATGCCTATCATTTTATCCATTATTTCGTCATTCCAATTTCTGTTCATTTGAATAATGATGTTAGTATTTTAAACATAATTCTGTTTTGATCCACAAAGTGCTAGCTGGCATATAGAAATGTGCTCGTACCTTTGTTTAAATGTTAGGACCTTATATTTAAGCCTTTCATGAAAAAATATAATTATTCTACTTAAAGGTTTGTAACTTAATTGAGTTCAATTATCTATAAAGGAGGTTGGAATGTGTTCTTAGCTGAAATGGAATTTTAGTTTTGATAAAATTTCATACAAATGTGCTTAGCTCTTCAGTAATTCACTTTGTGTGTATCTGTTTACATATGTGAGTGGGAAATTGGTAGTTGGTCCTTTGCATGCTCTTTAGTTTCAGTATTTTGTTTTAGTTGGAGATTATTATAGCAAAAATCCCTCATGTTTATTTATACTCCTATTTCCACTAAAAGGACATTGTAATATTACTTGAACAAGAATTTGAGGTGCTTGTGCTTGATTAATTGGTTGTTGTATTTGGTTCCCTATCATGCTGCTCATGTTAATGTGTTGGGTATATTTATTGTTTGATGTTGAAGAGTGTTTATTAGTCTTTCCTAAATATTACATACGTGAAAATTTATTTTAAATAATATGGTTAATGTATATGTTTTAATGATTATTTCCGACCTTATGATGATTTTTATGCTAAAATTTGGAGTGATTATTGATGTCATTCAAACCCGTTTAATTGGCTTAGCATGTGTTATGAGATTGAGAAAGAAGAAAATATTTTATATTTTATTTCGCTAAGAAATTCTTCAATTGATAATTTAGTTTACCGAGTTAAGAGTTAGTTATTTATTCGAATAGCACTTATTAAATGTAGGTACTTGACGAGTCGTGCTCGCCGCTTACACTCATTTTGTGATATAACTCGATTTTTTTACCAGGTGGGTACAGTTTGTGTATCTATAATTATCGCATTTCGTTATTTCGTATAAATGATCATCTCGATAACTTTAGTATGTCTGAGAACCCTAGTCTAGTGTGTTACACCGCCAGAAGCGTCTCGCCTTTAGTGCCTTTGATGAATGCATAAGCAGTGCGAGGTCACCTGCCCGTCGTATCCGGGAGGAGGACGCCCTAGCCCGTGTGTTGGGGAAAAACATCTCGACTGTCTCCTGGAAAGGATCCCTTAGCCCGTGTCGAGCCGGGGTGGGAATGTTTCCGGTTACTTCCTTGCCGATGTCTGATCGGAAGGTTGTTGTATGTACATAGGAGGTTTGCGATAGGGCCATATAGGGAGTTAGACCTGGATTCTATGCATACTCTATTTATGGATTTGGATCTTTATGCGAGATAGACTTATGCGATATTGGTGAGCATAGTGGTTTTGCTCACCCCCATTATTTGTTTTTTTCCTCTTGTTTCCTCTTCCTATCTTTAGGTTGAGCATTGTTGGTGGCGGCACTGAGAGACGAGCAAGTGGTGGTCTTTGGATTGTCATGTCTTTGCTTCCGTTTTATCCATTTTTTTTATATGTTGGATTGTTACTTATGGATTATTATGCTTCCGCTTTAACTTTTGAACATGTCGTTGGAATCATGATGTTTTTGATTAGTTTTGAAAACTTATGAATGATTTGATTTGATTATTATAATTGATAGATCGCATGTTTAGAACCATCGTGGATGTCTAAATTGTTTACCTTGTTAGTTGATTTAAGTAGCGCCCGTTAAGGTAAAGTTTTAAATTGAATTTTTGCCAAAATTTTTCTCTGATTTTCATTAATAAATCTAGCAAATTCTTTAAAATAAAACGGGGCGTTACAGTATGGTATCAGAGCTAGTCTGCGTTTCTGTAGACTACCTCTAGTGTTTTTGTGTTAATGACCATTGACCACTCGCTTCGTCTCGCCGCGCCAACTCGAGGTATGAGTTTTGTTTAATGTTCATATTATTGGGGCTTAGGACTACCCACCACATTATGTAATGAATTCTAGTGTTTGAGCGTTGAATTCTAGAATTGATAATTTTTGTATGTGCTAAACTCTTCGGATCATTCAATGTAGAGCTATGGCTAGACGCAATGCTCGCAATAGATAGCCATCTCCGTCTATGTCCCCGTCTCCTTCGCCTCGTCAGCATGCTCCGCCCGATCCAGACCGAGATTTTTCGAGGCTTATTATTCAGTTCCAGGGCATGCATCCGCCTACCTTCACGGGGACTGAGAGTCCCACTACCGTGTTGGAGTGGATGAAGGAGTTGGATAAGATCTTCTCTGTGCTCCCTCTCACTCAGCCACAGCGCGTCGCTCTGGCTGGCTTTCAGATGAAGATGGACACTTCAGACTGGTGGATTGATTACTGGGCCTTAAGGCAAGAAGCTGAGCGTGAAGCTCTCACCTGGGAGCTTATGAAGGATATCGTCCGAGACAAATTCCTTCCCCAGAGTTTCCGTGATCGCATGGAGCAGGATTTTTGGCATCTTCAACAGGGGAACGCTAGTGTGGACGAGTATACGCGCAATTTCACTCGCATGAGCATCTTTGCTGGCGAAATGGTGAATACCGATGCGAAGAAAGCCCGCAAATATCTGAAGGGGCTGAATCAGCGAATTCGCGAGCTTGTAGGGAGCCATGGAGCAATGCCTTATGTCGATACCGTTCTGCGAGCTCAAGAGGTTGAGAGTTGTTTGATTCCGATAGCTCCAGTGCCCTCCTATTATCATGCTTCTCAGACCACTCAGACTGCACCATCACTCATCTCTCAGCCACCTGTCATTCCTCAGATTTCTTACCAGTATCCTGCCCCGTTCACTTCAGCTCCCCTGTCCTCTAGCTCCAGCAAGAGGAAGAATGATCAGCAGAATCGCAAGAAGGGCAAGCGCCCTAACCATGGCCATCGCCAGCATCAGCAGCAATTTGTGGCCCAGAATGTTCAGCCCATCCAGCAGTTTCCAGCAGGACCGCCACCATGTGGAGCGTGCGGACGGGTCCATGAAACCAACATGTGTCGCGCTGCCGACGTGACTTGTTTCAACTGCCAGAAGAAGGGCCATTACTCCCGTTCCTGCCTCGAACCCCGAAGGCCAAATCAGCCCCAGCCTCATCAGCAGCAGCAGCAGCGAGCCCCAGCCCGAGTTTATGCCATTACTCAGGCGGAGACAACCAACAATGCAGGTACAATGTCTGGCATGCTATCTTTATCGATAGTGCCTATCTATGCTTTATGTGATACTGGGGCCACGCATTCTTTTATCTCTCGTGAATGCCTGGAGTCACTGGGAATCCGTAGTGTTAGTAGAGTCGATGCTCTCGAGGTTTGTTTAGCTTCGGGAAAAACGATCTCTACCGATACGATGGTACAGGGACTTGAAATTTCAATTGGAGGCCGAACGTTGGAGGCAGATGCTTATATCATTGATATGCGGGATTTCGACGTCATCCTTGGTATGGACTGGCTTACCCACTACTGTGCTGACATCCGGTGCTTAGAGAAGGAGGTCACGCTTCACCCAACCGATGGAGAGTCGATCGTGTTTTACGGCGCCAAGTCGAGGACCGTGCCGAAAGTTATTTCCTCCCTGAAGGCCATGAAGGGAATAACAAAGGGTAGTTGCCAAGGCTACCTAGTGAGCATGACCAGAGAAGGGGAAGAGAAGAAGCCATCACCGGGGGACGTATCAATTGTATGTAAGTACCCTGATGTTTTTCCCGACCAGTTGCCAGGTGGACCGCCCAACAGACAAGTTGAATTCACCATTGACTTGCTGCCTGGAGCTGGACCCGTCTCGAAGGCCCCTTATCGAATGGCACCGAAGGAGTTACAAGAACTCAAGACGCAAATCCAGGAGCTATTGAACCTTGGTTTCATTCGACCAAGTGTTTCACCCTGGGGAGCGCCCGTGCTGTTTGTGAAGAAGAAGGATGGTTCGATGCGCATGTGCATTGATTATCGTGAGTTGAACAATTTGACGGTCAAGAACAAGTACCCCTTGCCGAGAATTGAGGATCTCTTTGATCAGTTGAGAGGAGCCAGTGTCATCTCCAAGATCGATCTGCGGTCTGGTTATCATCAGTTGAAGATCAAGGAGTCCGACGTCTCGAAGACCGCCTTCCGAACTAGGTACGGTCATTACGAGTTCGTGGTCATGCCGTTCGGGTTGAGTAATGCCCCTGCGGTGTTCATGGACTTGATGAACCGTGTTTTCCATCCGTACCTGGATCGCTCCGTCATCGTCTTTATCGACGACATCTTGGTGTATTCCCGGGACATAGAAGAGTGAAGTTATTGAGTAGCGCCCGTTAAACAAGGTTTAAAAATTGATTTTTGAAAAATTTAACTCTGATTTTTGGAAAAATAATTCGGTATTTTCCTATTAAAATAACGGGGCGTTACAGTTTGGTATTAGAGCCAGGTTTACGTTTCTGTAGACTGCTTCTAAAATTGTTTATGTATTTATGTTATGACCCCTCGCTTCGTCCAGCCACGCCAGCTCAAGGTATGAGTGTTGTTTAATTTGTTTAACTGTTTGTTGGGGCTTAGGAATTTATCCTCCTTTCCTTGATTAATTTGGACTTTAGTGGTTGAGTTGATGTGCTAAATTTCGACTTGTCTTATAGATATGGGTCCTCGTAGAGATCCTCAGAAACAACAGGCTCCACCCGCTCAGGGTGAAGATCATGGTCGTACGATTGAGCGGTTCCAAAACATGCGTCCCCCAACCTTTTCTGGAGAGGAGGGGCCAACAGCTTTAACGGAGTGGTTCCGTAAGCTTGAGAGGATCTTCACCATTCTCCGATGCTCAGACACCCAGCGCATTGAGTGCGCTGAGTACCAGATGGAGGGTGATGCCGCCGACTGGTGGACTGACTATTGGGTTCTGCGGCCGGAGGCTGAGCGGATTGCCCTCACGTGGGTGAGGATGAAGGAGTTTGTTACTGACAAGTACATTCCCAAGAGCTATCGTGACCAGAAGGAGCGAGAGTTCTATGATCTCCGACAGTGTACCACTTCCGTTGATGAGTATGCTCGGGCCTTTACCCGGTTGAGTGTTTTTGCTCGGCACATGATCGACACTGAGGAGAGGAAGGCTCGTAAGTTCAGAGACGGGCTTCGCCAGGACATTCGTGTTTTGGTGGCTAGTCATGGGGAACTTCCTTTTGCAGACACAGTTCTCCGAGCCCAGCAGATCGAGAGCTGCATGACCCCGGTTGCCCCCGTCCCTTCCTACTATCATGCCCAGCCCACTCAGTCAGCCACCCAGCTAGCTATTTCTGCTCAGCCACCATCCGGCTCGGGCAAGAGGAAGAATGACTATCACTCAGGACTAAAGAGGTCTAAGCGCTCAGACCACAACAAGAAGCCTATGAGAGCTCAGCCCCTTCAGCAGGTTCCAGGCCCCGCAGCGGCCCTGGCCGACGCCCGCCACGAACTCGGCGAGCACGGCGGTGTGAACATGTCGATCGAGGCCTCGGTGACCTTCACGGTCATGGATCCCGACGACCTGCGGCGGATCAACTCCGGCGAGCTTGGCCCCGAGCAGGGACACTACATCTACAGCCGCCAGAGCAATCCGACGGTGCACGCCCTCGGCCGCCTCATGGTCGCTCTCGAGGGCATCGAGGCCGCCTACTGCACCGCCTCCGGCATGTCTGCCATATCCTCCGTCCTGCTCCAGCTGTGCAGCGCGGGGGACCACGTGGTGGCCTCGCGCACCCTCTACGGCGGGACCCACGCGCTCCTCGGCGAGTTCCTGCCACGCGCGTGCGGGCTGCAGGTGTCGTGCGTGGACGTCAGGGACCACGAGATGGTGCGGCGGGAGATGGTGGCGGGAAGGACCAAGGTGCTGTACTTCGAGGCCATGTCCAACCCGGCGCTGACGGTGGCTAACGTGCCCGAGCTATGCAGGATAGCGCACGATAAGGGGGTCGCGGTGGTTGTAGACAACACTTTTGCCCCCATGGTGATCTCCGTCGGGAGGCTCGGTGCTGACGTCGTCGTTCACAGTATCTCTAAGTTAATCAGCGGTGGCGCAGATATACTTGCAGGTTTCTTCCTATTTTTATTTTTAATTATTATTTTTATCTCTCTTATTGTCCAATTAGTTTAATTCGGTTTGACTTGTGAAATATCTAACTCGACTCACTTATTTATTGAACGAGCCAAGCTCAAATAGCTAATCGAACCTTGTCAATGAAATAAGTTGAGTAGAACGTGTTCGCGATCAAATCGATTAGAGTTTCTAGTCTTCGTTTAGATTTTAAAGTTTACTAATTGAGTTGAATCGAGTTTATATAAGTCGATCTCGAGAGTGGAAAGAGATTTAATTTATGTTTTATTCAATGAAAATAAATTTAGCTCATTTTGGTCTAGATGATAAGATTATACTGAACTAATAATCCAATACAACATAAATTAAAATATTTTTATGCTATTATAAATGTAATATAGTGAAAATTAAGACCGAATTGGAGCTCGCTCAGTCTGGCTGCTCAGCCCCACTGTAGTAGAATGTATAGATAAGAAAGGCAGGTTCAATTTTGTTTTGTTTTTGCCCTTCATTGTCATATGCCTCACTAAATTTAAGTCCTATTGTTATGTTCCTGGGTGCATCAGAGTTCCTAGTATATATATAATTTTAGTATACTCCAATTAATTAATTAATATTATTGGTATATGATAACT